GCTACAGCGCAGCAGCTCTTCTTCTTGGTTTTCTCTGATGCACTAACTCTGCAGCAGCTCTTCTTCTTCGTTTTCTCTGATGCACAAACTCTGCAGCAGCACTTCTTCATCTTCTCGTCTGATGCGTTCACTCAACCAAGCGTTCTAACCACAACCAACCATTCGAATTTCTGTAGGCGGGAATTATTTGTAATGAAATTCTAATGAGCTGCTTTGTGATATCACAAAGCCCGGAAACCAACGCTGTAGTCCAAACGAGCCGTTCGTTGTAGTTCTTGAAAAGGGATTTTTAAAAAACTAAATATCTCCCTTTGGAGTGGACTTTGAGATTTGTAACTTTCTAGATCTTTTTAATGCCCAAACATACACACTACACACTGACTAAAATTAAAAAAGTGAAAAAGCATAATAGGACCCCTTTAATAATTTTCATGAAATCTGACAAACAGCAATTATACGTGTAAGCAGGGCAACACCACAAATGATGAATAAAATAAAAATAAAGATCAAATAATGTCAAATCATATATAAATATGGTACATTTCAGAATGTCCAAGAATAATATTCTATGCAAGTAAATATTGTCAGATCAGCAACCGCTAAAACAACTCGAAAAGTAATTAACCCTTGTGCTAATTTGGTGTTCTCAGTCAAAAATGATCAGTCTTTTAAAGACTGCTTGTAAATCTCTCATTATGCTATAATATTATCAAATATTGGACTCAGTCTTTTTATCGACTTGTTGTATTTCAATGAGCACAGGTTATGTGTTGCTGTTTTAACTGATTAATATAGTCCTCATTGATGTGAGCTTATGCACCTCAGTTTTTAAGTGCAAAAACCATTATTTGTGAATTCTGTCAGTGTTCACTTAAAAACTGAGGTGCATAAGCACAGATCAATGAGGTCTGTGATCAATCAGTTACAAAAAAAAAAACCTGTGTTCATTTAAGGAAAACAAGTTGAAAAGATTTAATCCAATATAGCATAACAAGAAATTTATAAGCAATTTTTTGCAGGCCATTTTTGACCAGGAACACAAGTATAATAAGGTGGGGAAAAGCTGTCAGCTGTCATGCCGGTGTCGTGCAGTAGGTGGCAGTATTCGCCTTGCAGTAGATTTGCCAACCGCCATCGAAAAGAAAAGAATACGCTCAAATGTGCGCATTCAGCCGCTATTAAATCTAAAAGAAGAAATGCATGTGCGAGAACCAGTGACGTCTGTTCTAGCGTGTCACATACGTTTGAGCTTCTGTGTTCAATGTACTGGATGCACACTTTTGTAACGATCACTCTTAATTTATCGTTTACTTTTATCTGCTGTCAGACTATCTGAGACATCCTTGCCATAACGCATTGCTGTGTGTTGTGACGGACAGACTGGCATTCTCACACTGCGAGCTTCATGCTTTCTAACCATATCTCCACTTTTTTACCTTATGTAGCAATAATTAAGCTTTATATATATATATATATATATATATATATATATATACAGTATATATATAAACTCCAAATGTAAACTAGTCAGTTTTCATGCAGCACTATTTTTTAAAATCTTTTCTAGTTGGCTGTCTGTTCTGAGCTGATATTAATCCTTGGTGTATTCTTTTTATTATTGTGTTTGTGTTTTCTGACGGTTTATAATGCTGCTGTTCTGTGTCTCTCAGGGTGAGCGGTCTGCGCTCTCTGCTGCAGGTTCAGCGTGAGTGTGACGCGAGTGTGTGTGCGGTTCAGAGCGGGTTACAGAAGCGCTGGGCTCTGCTGGAGGAGTTACACACACGAGTGACTCTGAGGCCTGACAGCACACAGGAAGCACAGGACCCTCACGCCGTCCTCACAGACACTGAGGTGATACACTACTTACCATATAAAATCTTACAGTGGCCCTCTGTGATGCATGTTTACTGATATATGTGAATGTGTTTGTGTTTTAGAGCCTGTTCAGTGAGCTCAGTCAGTTCAAAAGTAAAGCCCAACAGTGCCAGACACAGCTGGAAACCAGTATAAACCTTTTACAGGTCATTATATAGTCATTTGTACAAGTTTTAATATATTTCTGAGGATATTATCAGAAATAGGCATATCAAGACAAGAATACATTGCCAATACAGCAACTTTCATGCTATAAAGCCTGAATAAATGTGGTTTTGCTGGCTGCTCTTCCTCAGGCACTTCGCAGCAGCCATCAGGGTCTGAACGAGACTTTCGGTGCCACCATCAACTCTACATGGACCAAAGAGTTATTACAGTCTAACACTGATCTGGTATGAAGACATTCACAGATAACGACAGCCTGAGCCTGTTAGATAGTCAAGTCTAATTTATTTGTATAGCGCTTTTTCACAATACACATTGTTTCAAAGCAGCTTTACAGAAAATCATTATGTTAATGTTTATAATATTGTAATATCCTAACGTCATTCAGCAGATTAGAGCTGAGTGATAATATAGTCTCAGCTCTAATCTATCAAGCAGTTGATATATATATATATATATATATATATAACATGATTTACTTGCGAAAGACCATATGCTTGCTTTTTATATGCTTCGATTTGTTCAGTAAATCATTTCCTTTCTTTCCGGTGACAGTTTTCGGAGATCCATGAGGATTTCATGTCTTTGGAACAGCAGACGTCAAATTTTGTGATCCACTTGAGAGGCCTGAATGCTTCTGAGGAGGGAAAGACAAGATTATCTGTGGATCGGTCACAAACGTCTCTTCCCACTGTCCCAGTGTACGTTGCTGCTCCGGAAGCAGCACAATTACATTCTGATCCAGAAAGTGATCCAGAGTCCCTAGGAGACTCACAGAAAGCCCACTCTAGAGTGTCCCCCTTCCATAAACTCTGTGGGATGAGGAGGAAGAGGTCATCCCCGTAGTTTTGACAAAAGTTGGATGTTTTTACAGGACATTGTTAATGCCTAGTATTTAATGTGACAGCCTGTTAAGCAGGTGTAACAACATAGTTTATGCACTTTATGCGCAGTTTTAATATATATTATAATACAAATAAATATTGGAGTCTCTATATAATGCCTAAACTGTGACTTGTGATTTTCTACATGTGAAATGTGTAAAAGAGATCTAATTTGCATAATAAAATAGTATTCATAATATGTTACATTATAGTATCGATTGTTTTTATTAACATTAAAATTTGTAATATGTAATAGAATAATAGAAAAGTTTGATGTCGGAAGATTTGAATCTGTCTGAAAGAAGCCTCTTATGCTCACCAAGGCTGCATTTTATTCTTTTTGAAAAAGCTGTAAAAACAGTAATATTGTGAAATATTACTATTTACAGTTTTTCTCAATTGCTTTGGCACATTTTTCGAAACAATCTTAACATTCTCTAAACTGTGAGTGCAAATGTCACAACTGTTTCCTGGAACTTCAGAACTTTATTGCATGTCTGCAAAATGTAGTTACTCACCCAAAACATTTCATTCATGCTTCAAAACCTAGTTATCGTGTCAGTAATTTGGCCAAGGCCACCAAAATATAAAGTATTTTTGTCATCGTGTGAGCCACACTGGTCAAAATGTTTAGTTGTTTTTTCACCATGATAGTCAACCATGGAAATGAAGGTTTTATAAAAAATCTGATATTTGTTGAGAAGAGTCAATAGTACATAGAAAAGAAAAAAAAAGTATGAACATTTGTATTTATGCAGTACATTTATTTTTGTACGAATGCATTACATATAAGTGAAATCTTGCTTGTCCAATTACTGTACATTTCAGATTTCTTATGTTACCACAAATACACAAAAATACTTAATAACTACAAAATAACATCCATGAAAAAAATTATTCTTGGTGGACATCCTGTCGCTCTTGTTGGTCAGGCCAAAGATTTTCATCAACATCACATCCGATGTTTTCCATTGCCATGCACCGGGGAAAAAAATCTCCTTGAATGCCGCACCCATCCCCTGCAATGATCAGCTGTGATGTCCTCACATGCAGCATTCATGGCATCCAACAGAGACATCTGATCTTGCGGTCTATGATCATATACTTTCCACCTCCATGCTGAAAAAAA